GATTGTTTGAGTCGTCTACCACTCAAGGAGAGTGTGGATGTGCCCCTGCCGGGTGAGACCATTCTACTCATTGAACGCTTCGATGGTACACCAGTACATGCTGAAGAAATTGAGGAATGGACACAGTCAGATTTCTTCTTGCGTCAGGTGATACATTTCATTCAGAATGGATGGAAAGAGAACAGTAATGAGAAACTTCGTCCGTATTTCAGCAGAAGGAACGAATTTAGTACACAGGAATGCTATATTCTTTGGGGGAGTCGTGTGGTGATTCCAGAACCAGGAAGGGAAAAGTTATTGGATCTGTTATATGAAGGACATCCTGGAATAGTCCGGATGAAAGCCTAGCAAGGAGCTACTTATGGTGGCCCGGACTAGAAGAGGACATCGAGAGAAAGGTACTTGGATGTGAAGATTGTCAGATGCAAAGTGCCACGCCAGCAGTACCACCATTACACCCCTGGGAGTGGCCAAATCGTCCATGGTCTAGAATACATGCAGATTACGCAGGACCATTTATGGGATCCATGTTTTTAATCATTATCGATGCGTACAGCAAATGGATTGAGGTGTTTAAGACATCTACTTCTACATCTGAAGTGACAATTGAAAAATTCAGACAAGCGTTTGCTACACAGACAATGGGACCTGGTTCACGAGTCACGAATTTGCCATTTTTACATCAGAGTATGGTATTCGACATGTGAAGACCTCATCATGTCACCCAGCATCAAATGGTTTGGCAGAGCGTGAAGTGCGAATTTTTAAGGAAGGGATGATGAAGATGGACAAAGGGACTGGATCGCCGATGACCAAATTGCAAAGATTTCTATTAAACTACCGAACTACACCACAGACCACAACAGGTGTTGCTCCAGCCGAGCTACTCATGAATCGGAAATTGCGGACAAAGCTAGGTTTTGTCAAGCCAGAGACTCGAGAACGAGTAGGAAACCGACAGAGGAAATTCAAACAGTATCATGCTCTACATGCGAAAGGACGGACGTCCATGGAAGGAGAAACAGTCATTACAAAAAGATTTCCAAGTGGACGGTGGAAATGTGGAGAAATAACTCAGAAGACAGGACCAGTCTCGTACAAAGTTGCTTTTCCAGTCGGCGTAACTGCTCGCAGATATGTTGATCATATCAAACAGAGACATTTCATACCACAAATGGTATCCCACAATCCTGATGAAAGCGAAAGTCTTTATAATCCGTTAACCGTAGAGGAGGCACCGAGAACTCCCGGTACACCTGCACAGCCGGAAAGTGAATTCAAGGCCAACGCGACTCTACCGTTATCCAGTAATTTGCGACTGTCTACTGGTCCAAACATAGCCAGCCCTGGTAGATCGTCTCGTTCTGTGAAAAAACTTCCTTATCTGGATGACTATGTTACCCCTTAAACGGTTCTTGCCTCGATTATGGTGAACAATTCTTTGTTATTGTCTTGACTGTAAAAATGTTTTGTGTAATGTTTCATGCATTATGACTGAATTAGTTTTACAGCCCAGCAAACTGTGTAAATGTAATACGGTATATGTTATGTTTTTTTTTTAAATTAACTCACATATTGATCAGTATTAAGATGTTTGTTTCTAATCAAGTGTCTAGTCAATTTGTCTAAATGAACTTAAGGGGGTAGGAATGTAGTATTCCGGAATTATCTTTGTTGTTCATGTGCATTTTGTATGTTATGTCATTATTGTGTATTCCGCCCAAGTAAAAGCATGTGTTGAGTTGGCGCCTTATTATTTATTATCGAGTCTAAACAGGACACATTCAAATTCTGAAATCATCGAGGAATCAAAGTGGGGTTTAAATGCCATTGAAATATGTAGCAACATTCGCAGCAGGCTGCTTGAAGGTGGCCTTTTCTGCTCGGGTAGCAAGAAAAAACCTTTTCTTACCAATGTACATCAATGTATATCGTGAAGAGGGCTTATATAGGCTATGCCTGCTGCCCAATCCATTTATGTATTTATTACATAATAAAATATGTTCAAAAGAAATCAATGTATATCACCAGAGGTGACTGGACTTTGCATTGGATCATGCAGACTGAACATAGGTGGACTGGGTAGCTGTGTTGTTATCAGATGAATCACGCTTTACTTTATTTGAATATAATGGTATGTTCTATGTCAGGCGCATAAAGAGGACAAAAACAGTTATAAAGTGCCATCGGTGAAGTTTGGTGATTACAGATAAATGGCTTGGATTTAGCCATGTCCTACAGACGGACAGGTTTAATGAAACGAAATGATGAAAACCTTTTATAATTTTCAGGGCTACATTCACATCCTGGAAACAAATGCAGTACCTTCTGTGCATTTTTTGCGCTATGGTGAAAATTACTTTTATATAGATGACAATTTTGAAAGTTTTAAATGGTGTATCGGACAATATTCCAGTCCAAAGATGCCAAGACCTTACAAACAGTATGCAACGAAGAAAACAGGCAGTAATTAAAACCTGCCGTGATTATACTAAATATTGACATGAATATTAACATCTGAATACATTTAATGACATTTATGTTTAGTTCTGTTTTATTACTTTAAAGTGAAAAAGACGAAAGATTTCTTGTGTGTCTACTTATTTATGTCGTGCAATATCCTCTCCTTTAACACAATGAAAATGAAACATGAAAATAACGAACAGTATTCAAGATGTAAATTCCATAAAACAATGCAAAATAGGAGCAGAACAAACATGGACCTCCAAAACATCAGAGGTGGGACCAGGTGCCATGGAGGAGTCAGCATCCCCTGCCGACCATCCTTTACAATAAAAACTGAAGCTTTTGGCGTGCCCGTAACTTTACTTCATAAAGGCTCTATGGAAAAGTTGTAAATTACTTGAAACTCACAGACAAAAACATTATACTAGAACCATTCTCCTGATAGGACTCTTATAAGTAGTTAAAACTGATATCTGCAATGGGAAGATTTGGTGATTGGGCATAGATATTCATCTTAGTCGAACCAGTTTCTCTGAAAATGATCAACTAAGCTCAGTCTAGGTCTTCAACTACTCATGACAAATTCGTTATCGCTCTGCACCGCTCTATTCATATACATAAAGTAAAATTAAGTACTTCCTTTAAAAATTTAGACATCTCAATGGAATAAAAAACCGATGCAAGGAATTATGTTTCATCAAAATTATTGGCGTACCTGTGAGCAAGCAAATGTTTGCACCTTCTGAAGAAATCCGTTCTACGGTATATTATTCAAACCTAATCTTAATTGGAACCAGCTCGTCCAAGTCTTTCGGATGTAAGAATACTTTAAAGGTAAACAGGTAAAGTATTTCAGGAGTATAGGGAGGTAATTCGTGGCCATTTATTGTAGGAGCAAGGGAAATCATAGCCTTTTATAATTAGGGCACCGCTCGGCGGGTGCCCTATAGTGATCAGTCTGTCCGCCCGTCCAGCTGTCCTTCCGTCCGTCTGTCCGTCCAAGAACTCTTGTCCGGAGCATATCCTCTCTCTCCTTGGCCCAATCTAGCTCATACTTCACCCACAGAGTGCCTTTTGGTAACCGGTGTGCAGTAACCTTGAACCTTGTTTCTAGATCAAAGGTCAAGGTCATAGCAGAATTATGTGAAAAAGCCTTGTCCGGATCATATCTTCTCTCTCCTTGACCCAATCTGGCTCATACCTCACCCACAGAGTGCCTTGCGATACCAGTGTGCAGTGACTTTTAACCATGTTTCTAGGTCAAAGGTCAAGGTCATAGTAGAATTATGTGAAAAAGCCTTGTCCGGATCATATCTTCTCTCTCCTTGACCCAATCTGGCTCATACTTCACCCACAGAGTGCCTTTAGGTAACTGGTGTGCAGTGACCTTGAACCATGTTTCTAGGTCAAAGGTCAAGGTCATAGCAGAATGATATGAAAAATCCTTGTCCGGATCATATCTTCTCTCCTCTTGGCCCAATCTGCCTCATACTTCACCCACAGAGTGCCATTTGGGTAAAGGGTGTGCAGTAACCTTGAGCTAAGTTTCAAGGTCAAGTGTCAAGGTCAAAGTAGCCCTTCTGTTTTAATTCTTGTCTGGAGCATATTTTCACTTTCCTTGGCCTAATCTGGCCCATACTTCACAAATAGAGTGCATTTGGGTAAAGAATGTGCAGTGACCTTGAACCATGTTTCCAGGTCAAAGGTTAAGGTCATAGCAAAATTGTATGAAAAATCCTTGTTCGGAGCATATGTTCTTTCCTTGGTCCAATTAGGCTCATACTTCACTCACATAGTGCCTTTGGGAGAAGGATGTGCAGTGACGTTGAATCATGTTTCTACGTCAAAGGTTAAGACCATAGCAGAATTATATGAAAATCCTTGTTCGGAGCATATTTTCTCTCCTATTAGTCCAATGTTGCTCATATTTTACTCACAGAATGCCTTTGGTAAGTGAATGTGCAGTGACCTTGAACAAAATTTCTAGTCAAGGGTCAAGGGGGAAAAAAGCCTCTCTTTTTAAAGTCTTTGTTCGCTGCATAATTTCTTTCCCTTAAGTCCACTCAGCCTCAAACAAATTGATTAGATATTGAATATTTGTGATTTTCCTTCCATATTATGATAGAGGATATGCAACAATTTTCATAGAGGATACATTTCTTAAAGTTTTTTGATTGTATTATTTTTCAAGGAGTAATACTTTTTGTCCCCTTTAATCTCAAAGACCTTCAAAATAAACCCTTTTCAGCTACGTTACATTTTCATGTTCATTGCTAAAAGCGGGGCCCTTTGAGATGGCCACCAGTTGACATGTATATTCATTTACAATGTATATTTATGTACTTGCCTGCTGCATTTTTCAAAAATTGTAATGATTTACTAATTTTGCAATGTATGGCCGACCTACTACCATGATCTCTTGTTGAGGTATTAAAAAATAGAAAGTGAAAGCGAAAAAATACCCACTCATATTTTTTTAGTTTTCAGTCGAGAAAATCATTTTGCAAATGAATAAACTGAAAAATAAATCCAAA